AGATCAGCACAATGACACTAGTGGTATTTACCATGGCAGACAGACGGTCAAGTCAAGCAGGTATCAGATCAGCACACTGACACTAGTGGTATTTACCATAGCAGACAGACAGTCACTAGCGGTATTTACCATGATGGACGTAAGGTCACTTTCAGCACAATCAGAGCATCACACTGACACTAGCGGCATTTACTATGATGGATGTAAGATCACTTTCAACACAATCAGGTCAGCACACTGTCACTTGTGGTATTTACCATGATGGACGTAAGATCACTTTCAACACAGTCAGATCAGCACACTGACACTAGTGGTATTTACCATGGCAGACAGACGGTCACGTCAAGCAGGTATCAGATCAGCACACTGACACTAGTGGTATTTACCATAGCAAACAGACAGTCACTAGTGGTATTTACTATGATGGACGTTAGATCACTTTCAACACAATCAGGTCAGCAGACTGACCCTAGCGGTATTTACCATGATGGACGTAAGATCACTTTCAACACAGTCAGATCAGCACATTGACACTAGTGGTATTTACCATGGCAGACGGTCACTTCAAGCAGGTATCAGAGCAGCACACTGTCACTTACACTATTAACCATGATGGATGTAAGATCACTTTCAACACAATCAGATCAGCACACTGACACTAGTGGTATTTACCATGGCAGACGGACAGACGGTCACATCAAGCAGGTATCAGAGCAGCACACTGTCACTAACGCTATTAACCATGATGGACATAAGATCACTTTCAACACAATGAGATCAGCACACTGTCACTTGTGGTATTTACTGTGATGGATGTAAGATCACATTCAACACAACCGGAGCAGCAAACTAACGCTAGCGGTATTTACCATGATGAACATAAGATCAAATCAGCTCAATCAGAGCAGCACACTGTCACTAGTGGTATTTGCCATGATGGACGTAAGATCACTTTCAACACAATCAGATCAGCACACTGACACTAGGGGTATTTACCATGGCAGACTGACAGACGGTCACATCAAGCAGGTATCAGGTCAGCACACTGTCACCAGTGGTATTTACCATGATGGACGTAAGATGACTTTCAACACAATCAGAGCAGCACACTGTCACTTGTGGTATTTACTATGATGGACATAAGATCACTTTCAACACAATCGGAGCAGCAAACTAACGCTAGTGGTATTTACCATGATGAACATAAGATCAAATCAGCTCAATCAGAGCAGCACACTGTCGCTAGTGGTATTTACCATGATGGACGTAAGATCACTTTCAACACAATCAGATCAGCACACTGACACTAGTAGTATTTACCATAGCAGACAGACAGTCACTAGCGGCATTAACCATGATGGACGTAAGGTCATTTTCAGCACAATCAGAGCAGCACACTGATACTAGTGGTATTTACCATGATGGACGTAAGATCACTTTCAACACAATCAGATCAGCACACTGACACTAGTGGTATTTACCATGGCTGACAGACAGAAGGTCACGTCAAGCAGGTATCAGGTCAGCACACTGACACTAGTGGTATTTACCATGGCTGACAGACAGAAGGTCACGTCAAGCAGGTATCAGGTCAGCACACTGTCACTAGCGGTATTTACCATGATGGACGTCAGATCACTTTCAAGACAATCAGGTCAGAACAGTGTCACTAGCGGCATTTACCCATGATGGACGTAAGATCACTTTCAACACAATCAGATCAGCACACTGTCACTAGTGGTATTTACCATGGCAGACAGACGGTCACGTCAAGCAGGTATCAGGTCAGCACACTGACACTAGTGGTATTTACCATGATGGACGTAAGATCACTTTCAACACAATCAGAGCAGCACACTGTCACTTGTGGTATTTACTATGATGGACAGATGGTCACATCAAGCAGGTATCATGTCAGCACACTGACACTAGTAGTATTTACCATGGCCGATTGACGGTCACGTCCAGTTACAGGGCTAGAACTTAACTCTAAAGCTTCACTAGCCAAGGTAAAATTAAATGCTTTTGTAATTTAAAAACAATGGGGAATTTTGGAAATTTGTACAAGCCTGCAGGGATTTGTAGTAGCCCCTGACATTTGGTATTTGTTTTGTTTATTGTGGAATTCAACACATATGTTCCATTTTTACAATATAATAAATTTTTTATTAATTTTTTTTTTTTTCAAATCATTTTGGTGTTTTCGAATGGAAAATATTTTTATATCAAAGCTGACAGCAACTTTTGTTAAGGATGTATGCTTGTATGGATTTTTGTTCACTGCACAACTTGAACTGTCATAATTCTTCTGAATACCATACCTCTTTTACATTATAGACATAAATTCCTGTTTATGATGAGACTGTGTGATAAACAGAATTAATGGAAATATGGTCTACAGAGATTAATCGACCTTCCTTGAAAATGTCACAATCAGGATGTTTGTCATCAACACTTTTCTTTGTTTGATATGATTAGCATCAATCCGGACTCATACAAGTAGCCACACACACACATACACACACACATGTGCATGAACGTCGCTATATAAGTGCAGTAATCTTGGATGCGACGTTAAACCCCACCTTCACCTCAAAGGTTCACCTCAAAGTAGTTGACAAGTTTACCTTGCACAATAAAATGAATTCTTTCCCCCATCTTTCTTTAGATGGACAGTCAGATTCAATAACAAAGATTTTAGAAATACCTATGATCTAAGAAAAAAGTTAAGTACTCATAATACAGACAAGCAGATATCCTTAAGTGGCTATCTTTCTGTTGGAATGGTCCTATAACATACGCTTTTGTGACTTCTGTCTGCACTGCCTTTGTCACTACTACTGGATCCAGTGTAGCACTATGATTGTTTTTACATTCTGTTGTGGACTGTGGAATATCCGACATTAAGGGGTCAAAGCCATGTTGCAATCCGTTGACGAGATATGTTGCAAATGGAGGATGGGGATGGGAGGCAAGTTCTGCCTGTATATCCTGTACGTTGATAGGAGTGAGATGAACTGCTACTGTACCTCCGCCCTCTTCGCCAGTCATATCCGGGAAAGTTAGTCAAGCTTGAGTGTCCCGTCTTGACTTGGGAGAATTTGCTCAATTTACCTGTCCGTGATTCTAGGCATAACAATTGAGACACACATGAAGGTACACACAGTTCGCTCTTGGACAGTCCTGGTGATTGAAATTATTGCAGACCTCACATCCGTTTGACTCAACTCGAGGCCGTCCCCTGGTGTTGTTTCTGTCTGTCGCCCCCTGCCTATCGGAGATGACAGTTTTGTCCAAGAAAAGGTTAGACCTATCTTCATTGGGTGATGCTGTGGCATGTGGTACACGATCAAGAACGTCGACCCGAAGAACACATCCCGTACAAACGTGTGTCCCTCATGTCTCATCGAATGCTCTGGCGACTAACAACTTATGATAGTCATAGTGCGCAGTGCCCCCATACAATGTAGCTAGTTCAATCAGAGTTTGTTCATGTCCGTCCAACTGTTTACGTTTTGCATCATTTGTGTCGCAGTAAAGGTCCTTATATATGGCAAAGGCCTGGATGAATTCGGCTAGGGTCAGTGCACGAGTGACCCTCATATCCTCTTTCAATTGGTCGACATTGCCATCATATTTGGCCATTCTTGCATCTAAAGTGTTTGGGTTGGGTAATAATAGCAAAGCAAGGTTGCAATACTTGCAATCTTTGATCTTCTTCTTGAGCACTGGAGTGACAGAGTGAATCTGTGGCCGAGAATCAAAAGGCACTTCGTGGCTTTAGTGATCTGGTAGGCCCATAGCCACATGATCGGTTGGCACTCTCTGTTGACTAGTCATGTTCGCTTTCATGCTTTGTAACTCTGCTAGTTCACGTTGTAGACTTGTAACACTAACAGTGACAGGAGGCACGGAGTTGGTCACATTATCCACATTGTCAGACACAACACTGTCTGGTAGCCTGGTCCCACTGACAAGGACATCTGGATTTCTGCTGTGAGATAGTCCAGCCTCAACAATCACCGGAAGTGTAGCTGCTGGCTTTGAATTAGCACTCGGACCATAGCTGTCAGACGAGGTCACCGTCACTGATACTGGCCATCTGTGTTGATTCCCTTGCAGCAACTTGCAGCTTTTCCTTGGCCAATTATTCCGTACCTTCAGCCACGTTCCGCCAGTTGTGAGCGTAACTCGGCCATTGTAAGATACGGTGGACTGCTGGGTCGCACAGTATTGCGTCTGGAACTGTCAGCATTGGGACTGGCTTCAATGCCCTGAGGTCTGATTTCCGCATGGATGGTATATGATAAACAACACGGCTCAGTAGCTTCAAACAATTGAGGAAGTACCCTCATGCAAGGCTGATGGGTTAATAAAGGTAAACACTGTGACGTCATGTCCGGCTTACTGGGCATGCACTGACTGTTTGGAAGTGGAATTGTGGGGTATAATACTGTATCATAATCCAGACGGATAAAAACAAATTTTGATAATAGAGGTTTTGGAAATCGTGTTGATTATTACGGTAATGGGGTGACTGGCATGTAATTGCGGTAGATTAAATAGGCACGAGTAAGTACTGTTGTTGTTGCACAAACTGACATATTAAATTACCATTATGTATCCCAAAACAGGAAGTGACAATACAGGTACAACTACTCTTGGATAGTTGATAGTGAAGAGGACGTCTGCTGAAAACTGAAGATATATTTATTATGTGATGACCACCAACATACAGGATAATGACAATGATGTAATGGAGATGGTATTCTTAGAATTATTAACAATGATAACTATTGATTTGATTTTCCCAGACCAGAAGTATTTCATTAGATGAGAAGTTTATTTCCTTCTTTATTAGGCCAACTGAAGGTGTGTGTTTAGTTATGTTTTAGGGGCTTTAAGGTGATTGTGGGCTGATTCTGCAAACACCTCTGGTTTAATGCTATTGTTGTAATGTTATGCATATGGAGATAATGATGTCATTTTTTTTTTCATAGATGGCCAATTGAGGCATACAGTGACAGATGAAGCATTCATATTCAAGGTATCAGAGGAACATTCATTTAACCAGCAGAGATATGAGGCTCTTGGAGAGGTATGTACAAATGTAGTCCATAGCATCCAGTTAATGACTTACTTGAATTTTGAATTGATCCTTCACCCCCAGGATTATATGTTCCTCCTCTTTAACCCTCAAGTTTTGTAACTAATCCTGCATTACATGTTAATGCATTCCCTGCTTACCTCTTGATCCTTGTGATTGATCCTGCTGAAGAGAGAAAAGTTTCGTTCCATTCTGAAGCAGGACCCTCCTAATCACTAGCTGCCACGTCATACCGGAAGTGTTAAGAAATCAAGATTACAGAAGTAAAGATATGTAGATGTAAGTAGATGCTTCCATTAAGATTACACAAGTAAGGATATGTAGATGTAAGTAGATGCTTCCATCAAGATTACACAACTAAGAATATGGCTAGATGTAAGTAGATGCTTCCATTAAGATTACACAAGTAAGGATATGTAGATGTAAGTAGATGCTTGCAACAAGATTACACAACTAAGGATATGTAGATGTAAGTAGATGCTTCCATCAAGATTACCCAAGTAAGGACATGGCTAGATGTAAGTAGATGCTTCCATTAAGATTACACAAGTAAGGTAGGTAGATGTAAGTAGATGCTTCCATCAAGATTACACAACTAAGAATATGGCTAGATGTAAGTAGATGCTTCCATTAAGATTACACAAGTAAGGATATGTAGATGTAAGTAGATGCTTGCAACAAAATTACACAACTAAGGATATGTAGATGTAAGTAGATGCTTCCATCAAGATTACCCAAGTAAGGATATGGCTAGATGTAAGTAGATGTTTCCCTCAAGATTACACAACTAAGGATATGGCTAGATGAAGTAGTTGTTTCCATCAAGACTACACAACTAAGGATATGGTTAGATGTAAGTAGATGCTTCCATCAAGATTACACAAGTAAGGATATGTAGATGTAAGTAGATGCTTCCATCAAGATTACACAACTAAGGACATGGCTAGATGTAAGTAGATGCTTCCATCAAGATTACACAACTAAGAATATGGCTAGATGTAAGTAGATGCTTCCATCAAGATTACACAAGTAAGGATATGTAGATGTAAGTAGATGCTTCCATCAAGATTACACAACTAAGGATATGGCTAGATGTAAGTACATGCTTCCATCAAGTTACACAACTAAGGATATGGCTAGATGTAAGTAGATGATTCCATTAAGATTACACAAGTAAGGATATGTAGATGTAAGTAGATGCTTCCATTAAGATTACAGAACTAAGGATATGTAGATGTAAGTAGATGCTTCCATCAAGATTACACAACTAAGGATATGGCTAGATGTAAGTAGATGCTTCCATTAAGATTACACAAGTAAGGATATGTAGATGTAAGTAGATGCTTGCAACAAGATTACACAACTAAGGATATGTAGATGTAAGTAGATGCTTCCATCAAGATTACCCAAGTAAGGACATGGCTAGATGTAAGTAGATGCTTCCATCAAGATTACACAAGTAAGGATATGTAGATGTAAGTAGATGCTTCTATCAAGATTACCCAAGTAAGGATATGTAGATGTAAGAAGATGCTTCCATCAAGTTTACCCAAGTAAGGATATGGCAAGATGTATATAGATGCTTCCAACAAGATAACACAAGTAAGGACATGGGTAGATGTAAGTAGATGCTTCCATCAAGATTACACAACTAAGGGCATGGCTAGATGTAAGTGATGCTTCCATCAAGTTTACCCAAGTAAGGATATGGCTAGATCTAAGTAGATGCTTCCATCAAGATTACACAAGTAAGGATATGTAGAATTAAGTAGATGCTTCCATCAAGTTTACCCAAGTAAGGATATGGCAAGAAGTAGGTAGATGCTTCCATCAAGATTACACAAGAAAGGATATGTAGATGTAAATAGATGCTTCCATCAAGATTACACAACTAAGGGCATGGCTAGATGTAAGTAGATGCTTCCATCAAGATAACACAAGTAAGGAAATGCAGATGTAAGTAGATGCTTCCATCAAGTTTACCCAAGTAAGGAAATGTAGATGTAAGTAGATTCTTCCATCAAGATTACACAAGTAAGGATATGTAGATGTAAGTAGATGCTTCTATCAAGATTACCCAAGTAAGGATATGTAGATGTAAGAAGATGCTTCCATCAAGTTTACTCAAGTAAGGATATGGCTAGATGTATGTAGATGCTTCCATCAAGATTACACAACTAAGGGCATGGCTAGATGTAAGTGATGCTTCCATCAAGTTTACCCAAGTAAGGATATGGCTAGATCTAAGTAGATGCTTCCATCAAGATTACACAAGTAAGGATATGTAGAATTAAGTAGATGCTTCCATCAAGTTTACCCAAGTAAGGATATGGCAAGAAGTATGTAGATGCTTCCATCAAGATTACACAAGAAAGGATATGTAGATGTAAATAGATGCTTCCATCAAGATTACACAACTAAGGGCATGGCTAGATGTAAGTAGATGCTTCCATCAAGATAACACAAGTAAGGAAATGCAGATGTAAGTAGATGCTTCCATCAAGTTTACCCAAGTAAGGATATGGCAAGATGTATATAGATGCTTCCAACAAGATAACACAAGTAAGGACATGGGTAGATGTAAGTAGATGCTTCCATCAAGATTACACAACTAAGGACATGGCTAGATGTAAGTAGATGCTTCCATCAAGTTTAGGCAAGTAAGGATATGGCAAGATGTATGTAGATGCTTCCATCAAGATTACACAAGTAAGGATATGGCAAGATGTATGTAGATGCTTCCATCAAGTTTACCCAAGTAAGGATATGGCAAGATGTATGTAGATGCTTCCATCAAGATTACACAAGAAAGGATATGTAGATGTAAATAGATGCTTCCATCAAGATTACACAAGTAAGGACATGGCTAGATGTGAGTTGATGCTTCCATCAAGATTACACAAGTAAGGATATTGCAAGATGTATGTAGATGCTTCCATCAAGATTACACAAGTAAGGACATGGCTAGATGTAAGTAGATGCTTCCATCAAGATTACACAAGAAAGGACATGTAGATGTAAGTAGATGCTTCCATCAAGTTGACCCAAGAAAGTTCATGGCCAGATGTATGTAAATGCTCCCAACAAGATAACACAAGTAAGGACATGGCTAGATGTATGTAGATGCTTCCATCAAGATTACACAATTAAGGACATGGCTAGATGTAAGTGATGCTTCCATCAAGTTTTCCCAAGTAAGGATATGGCAAGATGTATGTAGATGCTTCGAATTTAACCCAAGTAAGGATATGGCTAGATGTAAATAGATGCTTGCATCAAGATTACACAAGAAAGGATATGTAGATGTAAGTAGATTCTTCCATCAAGATTACACAAGTAAGGATATGGCTAGATGTAAGTAGATGCTTCCATCAAGATTACACAACTAAGGACATGGCCAGATGTAAGTAGATGCTTCCATCAAGTTTACCAAAGTAAAGATATGGCATGATGTATAAAGATGCTTCCATCAAGATTACACAAGAAAGGATATGTAGATGTAAGTAGATGCTTCCATAAAGTTTACCCAAGTAAGGATATGGCTAGATGTAAGTAGATGCTTCCATCAAGATTACACAAGTAAGGATATGTAGATGTAATTAGATGCTTCCTTCAAGTTTACGCAAGTAAGGATATGGCAAGATGTATGTAGATGTTTTCATCAAGATTACACAAGTAAGGATATGTAGATGTAAGTAGATGCTTCTATCAAGATTACCCAAATAAGGATATGTAGATGTAAGAAGATGCTTCCATCAAGTTTACCCAAGTAAGGATATGGCTAGATGTAAGTGATGCTTCCATCAAGTTTACCCAAGTAAGGATATGGCTAGATCTAAGTAGATGCTTCCATCAAGATTACACAAGAAAGGATATGGCAAGAAGTATGTAGATGCTTCCATCAAGATTACACAAGAAAGGATATGTAGATGTAAATAGACGCTTCCATCAAGATTACACAACTAAGGGCATGGCTAGATGTAAGTAGATGCTTCCATAAAGATAACACAAGTAAGAAAATGCAGATGTATGTAGATGCTTCCATCAAGTTTACCCAAGTAAGGATATGGCAAGATGTATATAGATGCTTCCAACAAGATAACACAAGTAAGGACATGGGTAGATGTAAGTAGATGCTTCCATCAAGATTACACAACTAAGGACATGGCTAGATGTAAGTAGATGCTTCCATCAACTTTAGGCAAGTAAGGATATGGCAAGAAGTATGTAGATGCTTCCATCAAGATTACACAAGAAAGGATATATAGATGTAAATAGATGCTTCCATCAAGATTACACAACTAAGGGCATGGCTAGATGTAAGTAGATGCTTCCATCAAGTTGAGGCAAGTAAGAATATGGCAAGATCTATGTAGATGCTTCCATAAAGATTACACAAGTAAGGATATGGCAAGATGTATGTAGATGCTTCCATCAAGTTTACCCAAGTAAGGATATGGCAAGATGTATGTAGATGCTTCCATCAAGATTACACAAGAAAGGATATGTAGATGTAAATAGATGCTTCCATCAAGATTACACAAGTAAGGACATGGCTAGATGTGAGTAGATGCTTCCATCAAGATTACACAAGTAAGGATATTGCAAGATGTATGTAGATGCTTCCATCAAGTTTACCCAAGTAAGGATATGGCAAGATGTATGTAGATGCTTCCATCAAGATTACACAAGTAAGGACATGGCTAGATGTAAGTAGATGCTTCCATCAAGATTACACAAGAAAGGACATGTAGATGTAAGTAGATGCTTCCATCAAGTTGACCCAAGAAAGTTCATGGCTAGATGTATGTAAATGCTCCCAACAAGATAACACAAGTAAGGACATGGCTAGATGTATGTAGATGCTTCCATCAAGATTACACAATTAAGGACATGGCTAGATGTAAGTGATGCTTCCATCGAGTTTACCCAAGTAAGAATATGGCAAGATGTATTTAGATGCTTCCAACAAGTTTACCCAAGTAAGGATA